ACAAGATCCTCTTTGATCATTGGGTATAGAGCAAATAGTTTATAATATCTTTATAGTAGCTTTGAACCCTCACCCGAAATCCTAAACCCCAAACTCTCCAACTGCCAGGGCCCCCGTGATTTTAAGAATTTAGAGGTTATAGGGTTTAGGGACATACGATGATTAGGCTTCCCAGCAAAGAGCTAGTGACACATAGTGGGTTGAAGCTATTTCCCTATATCCCAGTTGTACAGGATGCTCTTTGATCATGGGATATGGAGCAAATCATTTCATAGTGTCTTTGAACCCTCACCCTCCATCCTCAACCCTAAACCCTTCAACTGCCCAGGCTGAATTTGCTGGTCCTAGCAGGGGCTCCATTCTCGATACTATCCATATGCGAGATGGTCATGCAACATATGACCCAGACAGGTTTGGACGCTCGATCGGCTACCAGAATCATAAAACGTTTTGATTTATATCTGTAGGACAAGGCCTGCAACTGGTGTTTGTGGGGCCTGTTTGTTGGGCCAGAAGTCAGAAAATTTAGTGGTACGAAACCCTTTTAATCCCCTACATCGTGATATTGAAGGCAATACACACCCCCAACTTGTAACCCTGCAATCCAATCAGGCCCTCGATGTGGTGGAAAAATATGCTGGTGTCAAGACAATCTGCTCAGCCTTCAAGCAGCTTGAGTCTTCGGAATTTGTGGGCCCGGTTGCTGTTAGTGTCGGGTTCTATTGCCTTTAGGTTATACTTGGAGGTTTGTAGGGCTATCTACTTTGATGATATATAAGATAAGATTATATAGGGGGTATATAGGTGTATGTGGGTATCAGTATAATTATAGTAGTCCCTACGACCCTCCAAGCATTAGATAGTATGGGGGTAAGGCAAAAAGTTTTGTTCCTGTCCAAAAACCAGACACTACATGCTCGCATATAAGCATATGGCCCAGCACTCAAGGAACTTCGGATTTGCTGGGGCAAGTTTCGAAATCAATGATGACAACGTTGCCCAAGATATCTTGAGTGGTATTGGGTACAGCTATGGGCTCGCCTTAACACTTCGTTTGTTTGCCAAGGCCGCTTGTACGCACAGTGCCTGCGCAAGTCTTTACATATTCTAAATGCTTTTGCTGCAGCCCAGGCGGGACTCAATTTCGAAGCTCCTGTTTGTTCTACCTGGATATGGATAAACAGGCAGGGTTGGGAGGTTATCTTATGTAGGTGGGGATATACAGGCCCTCTGCTTTATATGTTCGAGTGCTTCGCTTTGGGGGGTTTAGGGGGCGTGGGATTTCCTGAAGTAGCCGCGGTTTAGGGTTTAGGGTAAGTTTAGGGTTTAGGGTTTAGGGTAGCTCCCAATTAGAAGTTCGGTTTTGGAGGTCTAGATTTCAGCCTCCCGCGCTGTAGCCCTTGCTTGCTGCCCCTCACACCCCCTCCCGCAAACCGTGTGTCACAAGGTCCACATCAGGACGATCCCCTGCAAAGCCACTCGGAAATCTCCGAGTAGAATCGGTATGCCAAGCGAGACTCAACTGCATCATTCGAGCATGTCCAAGCATCATGAGCAGTGACCTTCCTTTGTCTTGATCTCTCATGTTGACTCTCACTCTGAAAATTTCAGTGTACCAGGGCTGTAGCTGTGTGCGCAGTGTGTGGTGTGCAGAGCCCTGACTGGGCATAGCAAACGTGCCGTGCTATGTCTGAAGAAGATCGGGATCGTGAGTTTCACCGAGCCATGGACCATGTTCTGAAACTTTCGGATTTGGGAAAGCGGCTCTGGGAAAATGCGCCGGATCTGCTCAAGGACAGCATGTGATCTTTGAAGTGATTTGCATATGATTCTTAAAGTTTTTGATGGATTTCGCGTTTTCGTGGAAGGAGCGGCTTTGCACGCCCCTGGGCGAGGATCAGGAGGCCACCTTGCTCGAGGGCACGTGGAACAAAACCTTGGAGTCAAATGTGAGCCGAAGCAGCACTAAACTGTGTAGGAAAACCTGCGGAGTGAATTTTGTTGGCGCGAAAACTAAGGAAGAAGAATGCCTGGTTTCTCGAGACAGTGTTGGATTTTGAGCCGTTTTGCCGAGTCCCACCAACAAAGCAGGAATGGGGCATAATCTTGGAGAACTTCAACTACGAATCGAAAAACTTGGCGATTCGCAAGACGGAGTACACTGTGCCTTGCATGCTTTGTTTTGCAGTTAGGCAGTTGCTTTGTTTAGGCATTGCATGGTTGCCACAAAAACATCCAAGTCTCTTGAAGATGAGCTCGATGCTGCAATTTTTGCAGCAGGGAAGGTTTGGTCGAACCTTCGGCGCCTGTGGTCGAACGCCAAACATGGCGCTCGTGATGCAGAGATCACGCGGCTCAAGGCCCGCATGAAGGATGCAAAGGAGGACGTGGATGATGAGCAGGCGTTGCCTGCATCTGCGCCCTGCACGCCTGTCGGCGCGAAGAAGGCCTTTTGCACGAGCGTGTGCAAGGTTTTTTTACAAGAGAACATATTGTTTGATTGCTTGTTTACGTGCTTGCGCGCAGGAAGACAGTGATGAAGCACCTTCTACCCCGCCCGCTCCATGGAAGGAAAGGGTGGCCGAGGAGCCTCGAAACAGGCTGGACCCAGATGAGGACTCCCAAGCTCCATTTCTGCTACCAGAGATGGAGCAGCTGTCGGACCTCCAGTTTGTGCTGCGCCAGTTTGAAGAGCATGGACTTGAAGATGAGATGGCAAGCGACGCCACGACCCTGCGGCTTATGGGCCGTAGCCCGAGCCCACCTGCCTCTCTGCAGGCAAACTCTGAGGGTTCAGTCGGTTGTTGGTTGAAAGCGTGCGTGATGATCATTGCATAACATGATAATCAACTGTGAGTGTGTGGTTGTGGTGGGTGTGGTGGTGGTTGGTGGTGGTTGGTGGTGGTGGTTGGTGGTGTTGGTGGTGTTGGTGGTGTTGGTGGTGTTGGTGGTGGTGGTGGTGGTGGCGGTGGTGGTGGTGGTGGTGATGATGTTCATGGTGATGATGTTCATGGTGATGATTGGTGATGATGATGATGATCGATGAAAATGATGATGATGATGACGACGACGACGATGATGATGATGATGGATGATGATGCTATCCCCCCCTACCAACGAAGTCTCCCAGGCCTTTTACGAGACTTCGCACACCGCTGGCCGGGTGTGGGGCGCAGGGCCAGTATAAAAAGCGGGGTGTTGAGGCCAACTCACGACAGGCCTGGCGTGAATGACGGCAAGACGATGGGCTAATGTGCTTGCTGGCACCCCTGCTTTTCGAGCGATCAGTCGGAAGCTTGGGGGTGATGGCGCCCACCCTTTTGCTTCCGACCGTTCGTTTGAGCTGGCGTATCGTGCGGCTGGGAGGCCATTAATGATGCTGATGATGCTGGCTGTGTTGGTGGTGGTGGTGGTGGTGGTGGTGGTGGTGGTGGTGGCGGCGGCGGTGGCGGTGGTGGTGGTAGTGGTGGTGGTGGCGGCGGTGGTGGTGGTGGTGGTGGTGGTGTTGGTGGTGGTTGTGCTGGTGGTTGTGTTGGTGGCTGTGCTGGTGCTGGTAGTGGTGATAAGGCGGCACGCTTCCCCAGACACATGTTAACGCGCAGTGTAAATATTTGGGGATGGTCTCTGCATCTTGTTTGTCGTGCTCATACTCTCCACTCTCTACTCTACTCGTTACGGGTCTCTCTTTCTACTTTCTCCCTCTCTGTTTTTATCTCTCTCGCGTCCTCTGTCTCCCAATCTCCTTGTCGGTCCCTCGATACCCCTGCCTCCTCCCTTTATCTAATTTTTCCGCCCTCTCCCTCTCCTTCTTTATTTTTGTCAGCGTCAGAAAGCTATAGCTTCAGTGCTTGTGTACCATGCTGAACCCCTTCATGTTACGATACTGCCCCTAGCATTCTAACCAATATGTTTCCATTGATAGGCTCGAAAGGCCATCGAAGATGCGAAGCCTGTGATGGATGAGATGTCCAGCTCAAGCTCTGAGCCAGACTCCGAAGCTATTTGGGCGAAGGCTTTTTCCTGCATCCTTGAGAGCTCGTTTCTTGGTACATAAGTTGTGTGTAGATCGTGCACACATGCAGGTGCTTGCTCAGTCGCCAGAAGGCCCTGATGAGGGTGATGGTGAAGAACGGCACGCTGGTCATGCTGAACGAGCCCTTTCCCCAAGCTTTGCCCTTCCGCGGGGTCTTGAGGACAAGATCATGAATGAGCTTCATGAGAATGCTGGTGAGATGCCTCCGATCCCTGAGCCGGTCCGAGGTAGAAGCTCGGCGTGTAATGTTTGAAACAATGTTCAGTGCGCGATCTTTGTTTTTCGTGTTCCTATCCATTCTAAAAGTACAATGGTGTGTTGGGAGGGTCTTGTTATAGCTTTGCATTCCCTGAACATTTATGTGCCACAGAATCAACTAGGATTTCTTGCAAGGCAAAGAGAAGAAGCGCAAGAGTAAGCCCTTACCGGTTGCGACAAGCTCCAAGAAGAAGGCCAAAGCCGAGAAGCCCAAGAGGGCGCCGTCAAGGTCGAAGTCGAGCCAGCCCTCTGGAATCTTAACTTAAGGCGATTGTGTTTTAGATGTATGTAATTTTCTCCTTGCCCAACTAAATTCAGGATCAGAAGACCGGACATCGGAGAGTTCGTCAACCAATGATGAGGCGTGCAATTCCGGGCCAGAGGCTGCGGAACTGGCAGGACTGCCAGTGGAGGCCAAGGCGATCCTTGAGGGCTATGCCGGATCCTACCAGAAGATCATTCTGAGCCTTCCCCGCTTGTATTGGCCCACGTCCACCCGTGGTGGTCGCCACAGCTACACTGTGTTACTTGGGAGGAAGATGATGTGTAATTAAGTGAAGGGTACCCTTTTATGAAAGTTATCTGGTTTGTTTTGACTGGGAGTTCCCTGAGGCAGGTTGGTGAGAACAAGGGGCGAATGGAGATCCTTCTCCGCAACCAAGCCTTCAAACCAAAAGTTCGAGATGATGGTTCGGCTTTGAAGTGCGGACAGCATCTATTCTGCAAATGGACTACTTACTCCCCGTGTGTCTGGCAATGTGGCAAAGTGTTGCTAAGGATCAGCTTCAAGACGGATCCGCAGGCAGCCCTCGCGCAGGCCCTCGAGAAGATCACAGGAACAACAGAGGCCTAGCCACCTAGCTTGCAAATTGGCCGATAGATGTGCCAAAAATTTTGACAAAGCTTTAGATGGCCTGGGTGAATGAAGGCCTTTGAACTCAGCGATTAGCGGACATGATGTCATGATCGACGCTGACTGGGTCAGTTTGAAAATGATTTGGTGAGCCATTTGAGTGGCAAAGCAGCTTGCAAAGCCCTTGACCTCTTGAAAGCATGGGTGTCTCTTTGATTTTGGATGAGAGCTTGCGAAACAAGAAGCCGAACCAGCTAAGGAATCTAATGGTATCTCGAATGGTGAGCTACTTGGTAGTACTCAGCCTCCTACGATTGTGCTGGGTAATTGAGCAGCCTGCTTCGTCGCTCTTGGAGTTCCACCCATTATTTCAATGGTTGGTCCAGCAGTTTGATGTGTTCCGGGCTCCTTGGCTGCCCTCTTGTCATGAAGCGGTTGTGTGTAATGTCAAGACATGGATTGCGGCAGCCTTGCAATTTGGATTGAAGGCGTTTGTCTGGATTGGATCATATGGTGGTGATTGTCCCTTTGCTGCAAGAAGCTCAAAACAAGAGGCAGGTGAGTTGTTATCGTGTTCCGCAACATGAGATGCTTGTTCACTGAAGGTCCCAAGCCCACACATCTTTACTCGAATTATCCCTTTGTGACGAAGCTCTACATTCCTCTAGCTGACCATGAATGGACAGCCAATATGGCCACAAGGACTGTTTGCAAGTGTGATTCTTGTCTGCGGGGTGAAATGTGGCGTGCTTCCCACATTCGTGTTTGTCTTCTCTCTGTCTCTGTCTCTTTCTCCTTTGTGTTGTTCTTCTTCTCTCTCTCTCTTTCTCTCGCTCTCTCTCTCTCTCTCTCTGTCTTTATCTTTCTGCCTATCTCTCTCTCACTCACTCTCTCTCTCGCTGCGCAGGAGATCATCCAGGGTTCCCGAAAAGCAAACAATGAAGTGTCGCGCAGGCAACCCCGAGAAGACCTCCCAATGTCCAAGCCCCAAGACTAAACATCCCAAACCTACCTTCCAACCTCATACTCCCTAAACCCTAAACTCCCAGGATCCAAGCCCCAAAACTTAACATCCCAAGCCCACCAACCTCGTATACTCCGTCAACCCAAATTACACCCTAAACCCTGAACTCCCAAGATCCAAGCCCCACGACTAAACATCCCAAACCCACCTTCCAAAACGCATACTGTGCAGGAAAGTTGGGGCCAATGGAGAGGTGCACGTGACAGGCGGATGTGATCTGAAGTCATCCCAACACTATCCTGTCTTATTTGGACGCAGTGTTTGTGAATGGTTTCTAAATCATCGAGCGGAGATTCGGAAGCAGGTGCTGCGGCGCACGTATCAGGGCCGAAACACCCAGTATATCCTTTCAGTCTTTAAGTGTCAGGGCTTGATGTTGAATTGTATATATATATATATTGGTGTTGTTTACAAGTGATCCGGTTCCTCTCCCAGTTTCCAGGCAATATCTCGAGAAGAATGGCCCACTGCCAGAGATGAAGGACAGTCTTTCAAGAACCTCCCAAACCGCCCAAGAATCAGTAATATATGGTTGCACAATCTGTTAATAGGCAGCTTATGTAAGCAAGGAGAGAGAGTTTATCGGTCTTGCAGGGTTTGTCGGTTTATCGGGTTCCCATTGGGTTTATCGGTTTATCGGTTTATCAAGGGGTGCAGGGTTTATCGGTTTATCGGGTTTTCAGGGTTTATCGGTTTATCGGTTTATCGGGTTCCCAGGGTTTATCGGTTTATCGGGGTTTATCGGTTTATCGGGGGGCCGGCCGGTTGATCGGTTTATCGGCGGCGCAGGGTCTATATATAGGTTTATATATAGGGTTTCTCGGTTAATCGGGGTCCCAGGTTTTATCGGTTTATCGGGGGTGCAAGGTTTATCGGTTTATCGGGTTCGCAGGTTTTATCGGTCTATCGGGTTCCCAGGGTTTATCGGGTTCATCAACTGCCATGCAACGCTTCATGGTTTTGGACTTGTCTGGCACATGCAGGACCCGGGCTTCACGAAGTACTGCAACTTTCGCCAGGTCAAGCTGGCTCTTGCATGTTGATATTCTTCTGCGGGTTTTCCTGTGTCAATTTGGGGAAATTTTCCCTGCGGATTTCTGAGATTTTGGCTGGAGACCCGATAAACCGATAAAAAACCGATAAAAACCGATAAAAATCCGATAATTTTATTGGTTTGCGGGTGCGCTCGGAAAGATAGGGATTTTGCAGCGCACAAGGTGGCCCCAAACACTAACCTCCAGCCCAAACCAAGAACATGTCAGCCCAGACCAGTAAGTTTGAACCCAAACCCACTAATTGTACCAAAGTCATGCTTCAGCCAAAACAATTAGACCCTTCACGTGTTAATACATGTGATAATTCGAGACAAGCACGAGCGCGCAGCCCGGGCCATCAGAAAAAGCTCCGGGCTAGATGCATGTTGCAGGCGGCTACCATCCGCGCCATGTAAATTACAACTTGTGGGTTGACGTTTTTGCTTGCGTGGAATGAATGGCTTGAAGGATAGTTTTGGTCGTGGGCTAGAAAAAGCCTACATGCGTAGGGAACGCCCTGTGTTTCGCTTAAAGGGCAAGTCTTGCGCAAAGCTCGTGCCGATGACGAAAGCTAAAAGACCTTCAGACAAGGAACTGAAAAAAGCAAGGAAGCAAATGAAGGACATGAAGGCAGCCTCTCCGACTGCAAAAGCTAATGACAAGCCCTCGCCCAAGTCGATCTTGAAGCAAAGCAAAGACGAAGACCTCGCCACCCCACCCAAGGAAAGCGGTAAGCGAAGGTTGAAGTTTCAGGAACCCGAAGAAAAAAAAGTCAAAGCTGAGGACGGCGAGAAGCAGATGACCGCGGGCGAAGCGGAGCAGATCTTGAAAGATTTGGAGGCCCCCGCCGAAAACACAATTAATTAATGTTTCCCTCCCAAATATAAAGTTACATGTCAGGAGTTAAGGTCGCAGAAAGGCAAGCCGGAAGCTGAAGAAAGCTCAGACGACAGTTCCGCTGAGCAAAGCAGTGCACCTGAGTCTTCTGACACTGAGTCAGAAGAAGGGGGTGAGGGCAAGCAAGATCAGGAGTCTGCTGAGAGTGAGAGTGAGAGTGAATCTGACTCTGCTGCCAGCGATGACGAGAAGAGCTCCGCAAAGTCAGGCGAAACGTCCAGCGAAGCTGAGGACCCTGCTGCAGACTCAGAAAGTGAAGAAGACGAAAGCTCGGAAGAGGACTCCCCAACTCCCCCGCCCCCAAAGAAGTCGCGAAAGAGCACTGAAGCTGAGGCTGTGGTTGTCCCATGCCACCTGCGTTTAATCTGCCTGTTGAACTTTAGGTTGTTCGAGTTAGGTTGCCAAGCCGGAGAAGTCTGCCAAGTCAGAGCGTAGGAAAGAGAACTTCAGGGCTAAGAGAGAAGACAAAGCTGCAGCAAAGGCTGCGCAGGAAGCTCAGGTCAAGGAGGAGGACTCGCGAGCGAGCGGCAAAGAGAAGAAGGACAAAAGCAAGGACAAGGAAGGAAAGAAAGTTCAGGATCAGGCAAAGCCGAAAGTTCAGGACCAAGTAAAGCAAGATCAGAAGAAGGCTGCAGGTAAAGACGAGAAGCAGCGGAACAAGAAAGCAAAGAACAAGGAGACAAAAAAGCAGGAAAAGGAGGAGGATGACACGTCGGTGAAAGAAAAAGTAGGTTCCCAGAAAGAAAAGAAATCAAAGGAAGAACAGGCAGGAACAGAAGCAAAGGAAAGCGAAAGCAGAACAGCAAAGAAGAAGCAAGAAGACGAGCAAAGGAAAGCAAAGGAGCAGAAAAGCAAGGACGAAAAGAAGAAAGGGAACAAGGAGAAATCAGACAAGAAAAGAAGAAGAGAAAACGAGAAACAAACTGAGGAGCAGAGCCCCGATGAGGCTGCCAGCGATGCCGGGAAGAACGACGAGGAAAAGAAGAGCGGCGACGACAAGAAGTTGAAGGCAGCTGAAGGGGCGGGATTGGCTGGAGTGTGTAACTCCAGCACCCACCACAAGGAGTGGTTGCGGTATAATCGCTGGCTCAAGAACCCCAAAAGATTCCCTGCTCAGCTGACCTCCAAGTTGCAATCCGAAGGTGGTAGGTTGACCCTGTTCAAGGATTACCTGGACGCAAAAGGGGACGCGAAAGCCATTTTGGCCAAGCATTCCCAGACTCTCACGGAGTCCAATGCTAGCCAGGTGAAGTATGGATTTCGCGGGGAAACATGGCTCAGAAATGCCCATGGGGATACCAAAGCCGAAAAGATCATGAAACGAAAGCAGAGCATGGGGTTGACCATCGAAGATCCTGAAGACCCGGATGATGTGTTGTATTTCGTGTTGGTTAACATTGACGTCAAGAATGTGAATGAGCTTAAAAGAATCACATCACTCGAGATCGCGGGCACAGTCGACCCAGATCTTCTGAAGGCTTTCACTGAGGCCGAACCACCCCTGACATCCCGGAAACTAAGAAGAAAGGGTTTCTTAGAACATGGGAGTGCTTCTTATTTTCTACAATATATCCCTTCGGCCCTTGAATGTCTGACTGTCTGTCTTCCCTCTCTATGACTCTCTCTCCCTCTCTCTCTCATCTCAGTTATGTTTGGGCTTGTTTGGGCTGGGTGTTCCTATCTTGTCAGGCTGGAGGGGTTCTGGATCCGGCGGCTATGAAGTTTGGAGATCTTGCTACATCCTCGGGAATGGGTAAGGCGCTGGAGTTCGCTACCAGCAGCGGCGTCAAGGCGAAAGCCAAAAAAAGCCGTGGTAAAGGAGGAGGTGGCAGCGCCAAGAGTGAGGAGGAGGATGCGAACAAGGCCTTCCGCACACAACCATGTTTACAGAGCTTTGTCCTTATAGAATGTGGGATGTATGGGCGTATAGGACTTATGGGGTAAACAACAAAGTTCGTCCTAAGAGTGTTCGGGCTGACCAGGAACCATCTACATGTTGATTATCTAAAGGTGGAGGCCTTCTTCATAGCCTGAGCTCATGCTTCAGCCCAGGGTTGAGAGTTTATAGAGTACAGGGGTTATAAGGTGCCAATTCAAAGGGTGAGGATTTGCG